GAGGCCTGACCGGCCGCGAAGACCGGCGGAGGTGGGTGTGCGCCTGGGGAGCTCGCACTGGGGAGGCCGGGGTTCTGAGTGTTGGGACCCGCGTGGAGCAACGGGGCTGCTGTGGACCGCGGGGACCCTGGGAGAGCTGCTGCCCACCGAGGCAGCCCCGACCCCCACAACTATCGCCCCCTCCAGGAGCTCCGCCTGGATGTCAAGCGCAGGCCCCAGTGCCCCCCAGCGCACTCGGTGGGACCATGGCCTCGCTGATGCCCCTCTCTCCGTATCTGAGCCCCACGGTCCTCCTGCTGGTCAGCTGTGACCTGGGCTTCGTGCGAGCAGGTGAGTGACGAGGAATGAGGGTGGTGGTCAACCAGAGGGGCTGTGTGGGTGAAACCTGTTAACACCCTGGTGTCCACAGACCGACCTCCCTCTCCTGTGAATGTGACGGTCACTCACCTCAGAGCCAACTCAGCCACTGTATCCTGGGACGTCCCAGAAGGCAACATTGTCATTGGCTACTCCATTTCCCAGCAAGTATGAGAATCACCCTTCTGCTTTCCCAACCTGTGTCCTTGGATGTCTGAACATTCCTTTGTTACCTGCATCCTCTGAGCTCTCCTCCCGGAGCTGGGGGGATCTGGGAGCTGGTGTGCCCTGGCCAGGGCGCCCTTCCATCCTGCTCCCTTGCAGTGCTGGGCTGTACCAGAGCCCCAGGTTGAGCTGTGTGGCCAGCACCTGGGGTGAGGCTGTCCTCTCGTGTCATCACCCCACAGCGACAGAATGGCCCAGGGCAGCGTGTGATCCGGGAGGTGAACACCACCACCAGGGCCTGTGCCCTCTGGGGTCTGGCTGAAGACAGCGACTACACTGTGCAGGTCAGGAGCATCGGCCTTCGGGGTGAGAGCCCCCCTGGGCCCCGGGTGCACTTCCGAACTCTGAAGGGTTCTGATCGGCTGCCCTCCAACAGCTCCAGCCCAGGTGAGGGCCTGCTCTAGTAGATTCTCTGGCTATTTTTTTTTTAACCTGGCTTTTATCCTCTTATTTACCTCCCCAAAGCAAGCCGCAGTCTCCCTTAGATAAACAGGGAGATGATTTAATTCATTGTACTGCCAGGAAAGGAAGGAAAAGCAGGTGGGCAGGGACCCATTATAGACAGACTGCTAATGAATCCTCTGGGGGAAGGGCTTTGACGCTTTCTTCGCCCAGCCTCACATCACATCCTGCATGAGCAAGTTCTGCAGGCCTCTAACCACCTGTCTACCGAAGGCTCCCTCCCAGGGAGGAGCTGTCCTAGGCCTCCAGGGGTGACACTGACACGTCCAGCCTGATCCTAACCCCCACATCTCGACCCTGTGACACAGCTTTCCTGCAGGTCGTCTGTGACCAGAGTCTGTCTCCTCTCTTCCCAGGGGACATCACAGTGGAGGGTCTGGATGGAGAGCAGCCACTGCAGACGGGGGAAGTGGTCATCATCGTGGTGGTGTTGCTCATGTGGGCTGGTGAGTAAGCACCTGGATGGGGGGCTTGTTGGGGGGCTCAGTGAAGGTGGGAGGCGGTGAAGGTGGTCTGTCAGGAGAAGAGGAGGAAACATGAAAGGAGGAGTTGTTTGGTTGAGGGAGGATGGTCAGGAGGCTGGCGAGAGCCCGGAAATAAAGACTGCATGAGCACCCAGAATTCAAGGGTTTTATTCTTGGATTTTCTAGAAGTTGTGTGGGTATCTCATTCCTCTTCAAGGCGGTGAGAGGAGAGGTTGCAATGGAGGCTCAGATGGTATTGCTGTGTTTCAGCTGTAATTGGGCTGTTCTGCCGTCAGTATGACATCATCAAAGACAATGACTCCAACAACAACCCCAAGGAGAAGGGGAAGGGGCCGGAGCAGAGTCCTCAGGGAAGGCCAGTAGGGACAAGACAGGTGATGTGGGGGCCTGCGCGGGTGGGAGGGTGATTTGGGCTAGAGGACCAGCCAAGAAAAGTGAGAGGCCAGAGGGGCAGGAAAAGGGGGAGAAAGATTTGAGATGAAGGAGGCCAAGAGAAAGGGAAGCACCCATTACCTTCCTGAAATTAGAGACCCAGGCCATTCTCTTTCACAGAAAAAGTCACCATCCATCAACACCATCGATGTTTGAGTGAACTGTGTCTGAGTGAAGAAACAGAAGCAGAAGAGAGCTGCACTAGCAATGTGGGGATGGGGATAGGGTCAGGGAGAGCCTGAAATGGTGATCTGCCCAAGACTCCCAGAGGGCATTGCGCTTCCACAATCTCAGGCTGGTGCCCATCCTCTTTCCACTGTGAGTAGGGCCGGAAGGTAGGTCCCCTGGACCAGGAGAGTGGATAGCAGATGGAACATCTCTTCCCACCCCCAGGTCCAGGGGAGAGTCACTCGTTCAACCCTGTCCCATTAGGTCCCAGGTAGGGGTCCCACTTCACCTGCATCAGGACACTTGGCATCCCCAGCTACCCCGCCATCTTGCCTCTGGGCCTCAGAGAGGGGTGTTTCTGTGGGTCCTCACCCTCCCCCAGCAAGAAAAGGAATCATCTGGGCCTAGAGGCAGACGTTACACTGCACTAGTCCAACGTCTTCCATGGAGCCTCTGGTGCTCCCCTTCACCTGGTAGCCCCCCAGCTGCTGGTGATCTCACCCCTTGGACATTTTTCCAATAAAGGTTCTTGAGTAAACTGGAGCGCATTGTATGGTACACTGTATGGAGACCTCTCACCACCCATCTCTCGCCTGACTCTCCATGGCCCCTCACATCACCACCAACTTGAGAGGTGCAGACTCATTGTAAGGTGTTTGTTTCAACTCTTCAGCCTGAAATGGGAGGGAAGGGACCAGGAAGAAAGGGCAGAGAAAACCACAGCCCTAGTTTCTTTTGCGTTGTTGGGTGCAAGGAGCAGAGGGATAGAAGAGAAAGATGTAAGGTCTTCCTGTGCTTGTGGAAACTGTTATGTCACCTGAGAGGGCCAGTAGTTTATTTACTACTTACATCATTGGCCAAACTCCTCACCGTTAATTTTTCTGACTCTTCCATCAACCCTGGGTAAATGGTCCAGGAAAGAACTGAGCAGTGTCTTTGGAGTAATCAAAGAGCAGCTACCCTAATGGATTCCTCAGTGCCATGTGCTTCTATCCTGTGTGTTCCCATGACAGTTCTTCCTGCCTTTGTTCACCTTTTCATCTCCATCTCTGTCTCTGTTCATAAAAGCAATAATAACTGTAACGCATAAATGAGTTTATAGTCATCATATACCACCACATCCAGAGAATGATTCTGGCAATAAAATCGAGGGGTTGGGACAAAGGAACTATGCTTTGGCTCTGGGACCTATTTGTTTCTTGTGAAAATAGGGCTGTCCTTTACTTTTTCTTAATTTTCAAGAGGGAGTTGGTGGCAGTGAGAGATGCAACTGTTGGCACTGGCAACTCTGGTGAGAGGCCTCTGGAACCAGAATCTGGGCGGGTTACAGGTCTTCCCAACCTCAGATGTTCCAGAGGAGGCTTATGAATAACTCCTTCTCTGCATTTTAGTCTCTCTGGTATATTATAATAACCCCCCCCAAATAAGTTAGACCAAAAATTCCAGAAAGACCCCAATCCAAACAAAGACCAAGAAGTCAGTATTTTTTAAAAAAATTTGTTCAAGCTCCGGCACGTTACTGTCTGCCCTGCCATTTGACCCATAAAAGCACCCCAATCGAAGCTTACTCGATAACCAAGTAGCATCCCTTACTTTCCTTGGACATTGGTTCCAAAACACTTCTCTCTCACACCCTGGAAACCATTATTTCTTGGGACAGGAGTGTTATAGGATACAGAAGCCCAGCAATGGAGACATCTAGCTGAGACTTAAG